CTGGGCCATGAATGTTTTCCTGATATCCTGCCTAAAGCTCCCTCAACTCAGCTTCATGCTGTTTCCTTCAGTCCTGACACTGAAGGACTCTGTTTTCCCTGCAACGAACAAATTTTGACAGTTGATATTTAGGCTTTGTAACATGAAATATTGAACCATCCATACAGAAAATCAGCTCCATCTCAGAACAGCACCAACTCCAGCCAAGTGACATCTCCGGCACCTTCGGAGAGAGACGCTCCAGCAAGATCTGTTCAGGTATTTTGTGTATATTTAACATTCTGGACTCTATGGGAAATGTCAGCATACCTGCTGGTGGCGTAAAATTGTCATGTGAATATGCAGGACCTTCCCTTTTAGAGAATACTTTGATGGAGCTCTTAAGGGCGTGTCTTTCTCCCAAAACTATTTGGCTACAGACTTGAAGTAGGACTTACTGAGTGCTGAGATGGGAAAGTGGGAATGAGATAGACCCTGTATTTACCTGCATTACTTCCTGGTTTGAATGCTCTTTGTATTGTAGAAGAATGTGTGTTCAAATTTTAACCATTGAGAAATGCTGCTTTTTCAGAAGGGGAGCAAAAGCTGATCCTGATCATAAATTAATGGATGAATTATTTTGTTATTGATGCAGAAACGGCCTCTGGCTTCTGACTGTACCAGTCCTGTGACGAGCAAGAAGAGGAGAATTGGCCACCAGCCCAGTCATGTCCAGCCAGCAGCTGGTGGCCACTGTCCTTCCTTCCTTCTGCCTTCCACATCTCTGATCTCTTTGGACATGTCTCCAAGTGCCGGCTCTGTTTCCCCGTGCACCCATGTGGTGCAGCAGAGAAATTTCAGAGTTCCACCATCGCAGCACCTGCCACGGAGCAGGAGGAGATCCCCAACTCAAGCGGGGAGAAAAACAAATTGGGGAAGCTGAAGCAGTGGCACCGCTTGGATTTCGATGAAGGTATTGATGTGCTGGTTTTCCTGACTCCTGTGTGGATAAGTGTGGTGTAAAGATTTGGTTATGAAGAGAAGTTTCTTCCCAAATTAAGGTGCAAGCATGACCCTTTTCCACAGGCAATAGTAAAAATGTTATTGAACAGTAAATGCAAACTAGGGAGATAGAAATGAGAGAAGAGAGGCAGGGTAAGGGGAAGAGAGAGACATCAAGTGGGAAGATATCATCACCACATGGACTCTCTGTTGTCCAACCTGTCCTTCTTAACCCTTGGTCTTCTCAGTGGTGGGGGTCCCCAGGTCTCTCTGGAGGTACCACCTTTATACTGTCTAAGATTCGAGGATCCACAGGGTGGTCACAGCTGTTCCCACATCTTGTGCTAAAAGCCAGGCAATCACTGATTTTCCTACCACACAATCTCTACACTGGAGGTTTTGTCTGGTGTCCTAATTCAAAACCTTCACCTCTTTTAGGCCAAGTGCTTTCCTTCTTGCCAAATGTGTTTCTCTCAAAGTCCTTATATGATGGCTAACCTTATGGGAACATTCTTCTTTGACTACATTCTGAAATAGTGAATTGTGCTCTTGCACCTTGTGAAAGGAGGTTTCAAAGCAGGCACTGGATACATGAAGGCACTGCCCAACATGACTGCTCTGCCATTATCCCTGCTGGATGGTCATGATAAATCAAGACCTTTTTTTCTGCCATTATATTACATTATAACTCTTGATTTAAAAGACAACAACAGCAAAGCTCAGACCTTGTGCTTCTGGAACGTTGTCTAAAAGTACATTCATTTTTAGAAATTCTCCCTCTAAGTAGGGCAAAACCAATCAAGAACTAAGAAATATGAAATAGATTGCTGTTGGAAGAATGTGGTTAAAAGGAAGATTGAGATAGTAGAAACCAAAGGGAATGGATTTTTTTTCTTTCCATCTGATTTCTGGTAAAATCACAGGGGTTGACTGAGACAGCACTTTTTCCATCAGCAGATTTTCAAGGCTGCATGCTGAAGCCAGAAACCTGTCCCACATTCATTGCAGACTAGTTTACTGAAACATGTTGATCAAATCTCAGGGATTCCGTGGTTGTTCATTGAACTCAGCCTTTTCATGGAAACTGCAAAAGCTACAAAACCTGGGCTGTGGTTTCCTGGAGTTCTACTTTGAACTGGGCTGGCAGATTCCTCTCCATCCTATCAGCAGAATTTCATTCTTCAAAAGCTGTAGAAGTGGTACATACTGAAAACAACATTGAAATGCTAAACAGAAAAAAATAAGACTTGATTTCTGATGACAGGGACACAGCCAGCAGTGCAGTGGCTTTTTTAAATCTGTGAGCTGTCACTTTTGGATGTTGACCTTGCAACTGACAAGTTGGGTTCAGCCTGGAGGCAGGTTTGGAGTGTGTAGATGCCTCTTGGAAGAGGTGGTGTGCTTGTAGAGACAGACAGGAGCTTTGAGATGGTCTGTCCGCATTTCTTCTGGACATAGAAACAGTACCTGCAAACCTTGGGATGTCTTTGGAAGGATTTCTGCTTGAATCTATAAACACATGAGCAGCTTTCTTGAAGAACCAGTTCCCAAACTCTGCCCAGCTATGAAGGAAAAATATGTGCTGTGTTTCAAGTGGGGGCTTAGGATGCTTTCATATGGACTGAGCCATGAGAGGAAACACACTTTTGGAAATGAAATGCTCACAGCAAAGCTGTTCTTCTAAGTTATGTGGAACATATTGTGACTATTGGTATTCCTGTCAAGTTGTATTGCCACTTCTGCACTTCTTTTCATTCTTCTGCTATACCGTATAATAATTTTGGCACTAAAATCAACAAAAGCAAGTGGAACATCAGACAATAGTTCTTTCCTCAAGAATTACAGCTCACATAGCTTTAAGATTTTCAAGAATGGCTGAGTTTTCAGAAGACTACTTTGTGTAAACCATGGCAATGGAAACTCATAAGGAATACAAAGAGTCTTCTGGGTTTTTTATGCTTGACACAACACCTGAAATAGAAAGTAGAGAGAAATTACAGGGATTCTGAGTGTTCCTTCCTGTTTCAGCTGACTTTTCCTTATGGCAGCTCTTTTTGTTATCATGGTAATTCTTGAACATTTCTTTGGAGAGAGGGCTTCAAGGTTCTGTGTGCAATGCTTCCCAAATGCCTTTGCCAAGAGGCAAAGGGCAACTCACAAGTGCAGAGCTGTTTCCAATCCCATTTTGCCACGTTAATGAGGAGCACTGGGTTTGGCTGCAGGGTATTGGAACCATAGTGGCAGTAAGCCCTTTAGAGTGGAATTGGCTTTCCTACTGACAAGAGTGCAGGCACTCATTGGAACTGTGGGCCTCTGGAATTGGCAGGGAAGTGGGGATAAAAACCCGGCATGAGAAGAACTTCAGCTTTCTTCTTTATTTCTTGTTAGAACCTCATTGTTTATCTCTTTCTTCTCTTCATCTGTCTTTCTCAAACTGATGTAATTTGGGAAGCTACATCTGTTGCTGCATGACTTGAATGGCTGTGCAGATGCACCTCATGACTTCAAACACAAATAGCTGAGCTGGGGCTAACACTGGGAATTCACAACTTATAGAATACAGCGGCCATTTCCTCTTTCTAATTCCCAGAAGGCGTTCTTTGGAGAACGTCATATGTGCCTCATTATTAAATGTTGTTGCTGCTTCTGAGTAATTTGCTGTGAGAAGCACATCTCTGAAGGACTTTTTCAAGACTGTCCAATGGGGATTGTTTGGCGTTTCAATGGTGTCTCGATGAAGAGTATCAAAATTCTGCTTCTCTGCAGGAACAAGAAAAGAGACTTCCATTGCTTCCACATTCTCTGCAAGAAGCAACCAACCAGACTACTTGAGGTGAGTAAAAGAGCCATACTACCTGTCCACTTTCAATGGGATGCAGTGTCCAACTCTTTCATGTGCTGAAAGGAAGAGTTTGAGCAGGTTGAGTTGTGCCTGGAAGGCTCAGAGCAGAGATGAACACGGAGGTGGGTTAGGCCCAGATGGGCCCTCCCTTCCTGCAGTGCAGTTGCACAGGCTCAGCTGCAGCCATTGTCTCCTTGGAGCAACGCCAGCGCTACAAGAATGACTTCAATGCAGAGAATGAGGAATACCGAAATTTACATTCTCTGATTGACAAGACCCCAAAGAAGTTCAGACAGTTTCAGGAGCAATGGAAGTCTCTGACTCCAGGCTCTGAAGCCTATCAGGTAAAGAAAGACAAAACCATGAAGACTGTGCTTCATCATCACAGCAGTGTTTTGGATTCCCTGGAGCTGTTCAGTGAGACAAAGGGAGCCTGTGGGATTGCATATATGCTCAGACACTGTTTGGGGTGGTTCTGATTTTTGCCAGACCCTGCCTCAATATGCCTTTTTTGAGCTGTCTGTGAAGAAACAGTAAGGAGAGAGGTGTCCCAAGAAGAGTCTAAGAGCATGGGCTCTTTCTGTTGCCTATTGAGAGGCTTAATTGCAGATCTTGGATGATGCTTGCAGATTAAGATTAGTTTTTGCAAACATCCCAGAAGAGTGGTGGCTGACAGAGAAGAAAATGTCTAGAGTCAGACTGAGTGAACTTTTAGTGTTTTGACAAAGGTTGCCTTTTATGGTCATGGTGAAACATTCCTCATGTTTTCATTTTCTCTTGTAGAGGCTGCATCATCAAATCCTAGCAGATTATCAGCAGCTACAACAGGTACGTGAGACACCAGAGCTGCAGGGCCATGGTAACTGCTGAGTCTGCCTCAAGGCTTTTTTAAAGCAAAGGACATGAGACTCTAGACTCTGCAGAAGTGTTTGCATGCCCTAATTTTGCTTTCTCCTTCACAGGGTAGCCCCAGCTACTCTGAAATGAAGAGCAGGTGCCAGTACCTCCACAAAAAGCTGGCCCATATTCAGAGGCGCATTTCTGAATATGACCAGCAGTGAGTGGAGTCCTGGCACCAGACATCTGCTTCAGCCTGGTGAAATCTGGGAACATTGGATTTCTTATTTCAAGTAGAGGATTTGATTTTAGGATTATTTAAGTTATTATTGTACAGTCGGTTATGTTGGCATTGAACAGTAGATTATATTTTAAAAGTGTAGGAATAGTTCAAAGAAATTTAGTAAGTTTAAGAAGTTGAAAGATAATAGCATTGAACGTTAACAATAAAGAAATCTCACTATTGGCAATTCCTTCTCTCAGTGTTGCTTGTACAGTATTTGGAATATAATTCTTCTGGTCAATTCTGTTCATCAACTCTAATGTTTTTCTACCAAAATAAATTTATCAGTCAAGAGTGGAAGCCCACTACCTGTACTATGAACTTGTGCACATTTTACATTTTAATAAAAGATTGTAGTAAATGGAATTTTGTTATGATTAGGATACCCCTGCTTTCTGATCTTTCTTGTTGATTCAAATCTCTGCCAAAGTGGTGAAAGACATTGAAGTTTGTACAACCCCATCCCCAAATCACCTTGTTCAGAACAGGGTTACAGAGGAGTGCACATGGGCTGCTCTAAGGTGTCAGCTGAAGCAGCTCTCAGGACTGCTTGTAAATCATGGCCTCACCTTGTCAGTGAACTAAGGAATATCAAGATCTTTGCAAGAGTTTTGTAAAACATGGAGAACTGTTGGAGACAATCTATTTCAATGGGTTTTAAAGAGAAATTGTATTCAAGTGTCCCTTTGAAAATGCTGTCCATTTTTTAGCACTTTTAAAGCTAGTCTGTCTCAACCAGCCTTGCCAGAGAGACACAGATCTTTATTCCTGCACAGACCTATGGAGCCTTTGATGTCTAGTCCTTTTCCTACCTTTCCTGCCATATCTTCATTCATCTGACACATTAGTGGTGTTGCCAGGAAGGCCGTAGCCGTCTTTTGGGGAAGGATATGAAATTGTCTAGGGGAGGATAACATTTAGGAAGAGTCAAAGGTGGTTCTGAATGCCCCTTACTTCTATGGAGAATATTCTACAAATTCCTGAATTGTTTCCATGCAATGATGTTGAGTCCCCATACCTGAGAGATCTTGAGGTGTTTTTGTGATTGAACACCTGAGCCATTGTTGCCCTTCTGTTCTCCTTCGAGGGAAGTTCAACAAAATGTCACCTCTTAAACCTGGAGACTTGGATGCATTTTTGCCTGGGTCAGGGGTTGCAGCTGTAGCTCTGCAATGCAGCAGCCCCAGGAATGCTGCTGTGGGGCACATGGGGTGAATTGTGGTGGGGAGCCTCCTCTTGGCCTGGTGGCTGCTGCTGGTTGACAGAGCATGCAGGAATGCTGGTGGTGAGGGTGGGCTGAGAGTGAGGATTTTTCATACTTACCCCTTCATGACCTATCTCGCTTTTTATGGAATTTCTTCTAACTAATTCTATATATTAAAAAAAGTTTTATTTTCCTACTTTTACAGGTCTAATCTTCAAATCCTTGGCTGACTCTATTTTCCCTCCAGTCCCTTGTGTGTTGTGGCTGGCTTCCCTTGTGGGCAAGTGTATCAATGTACTGGTCCCATCCCCTTTTATTGCTGCAGGAGTGCTTAGAAACACTTGAAATTGTCCTTTCCACTTTGCTTAAGTGCTTTGTTGCTGTGCTTTCTGATATAGACACTGTCCCCTGGTTGGTGAGGATGTATCTGAGCATCCAGTGTCATCATTGATGGTCATACTCGAAATTTCTGCACAGATGAGAGCACTTTTTGCAAAGGTGGTAAAAATGGATTTATATTATAATTTCCATCACATGACTTTTGTTCAAAGGGATAGGAACTTGGTAAGGTCTTTCACGGAGCATTTCATGTGGCCTGCCTATTTCTTTAAAAGCCACTGGAATTCTGATCCTCAGCAGTGTCAGGGGAAGCATTTTTGGCCACTTTAGTAAGGTTTCCTCGAAAATTTTACTGATTTGTCTCTTTAGAGTCTGATTATTTCTCTCAGTCTTGCTGCTGGGCTGACCTCCAAGGGCTAAGTAGGTCTCATTGAACTGGGAGTGTTTTGCATTAATTTTGTACAGTTTCAGCTATGAAATGAGAATCTCAATCTGCTGGCAACCCAAAAGGAATCCCTAATCTTAGTAGTAGTTTTATTTTTAACTGGAGATATTTCTCTAGCTTTGTTGGTGTGACAGGGAAAAGCCTCTGGCCATGCAGAAAATGTGTCCACTATACCCAGTAAGTATTTATATGTCCTTGTTGTTAACTCAGAAAAATGTCCTTGTCATTAATATCCGGCAATACTTCCCTATTTTGGGATCCCTAAGGGCAATATTTTGTAAAACTGTGCATTGATCTGTAAGTAGATTTTACATTTCAGTTGTCACATTCACTGTCAACCTAACACTAAGCAGCTGCCTTTCCAAATTGTCTATTGTTCCTTCAATACCTCGACGGGTTTCTTTGTCTTCTCCAGTTTGTGTCATTATTGCTTGAGACACTCTAACATGCTGGTCTGTGGCTACCCATGACACTTCAGGACTAAATCAGACATTTAAGGATTTTGCTGAAAGATTGTTTTCATCATGGTGTTCTGGGTCTGATTTGGAAAGGTTCACAATTTGGAAAGAATTGTCAGCAAGATGCTTTGTTCTGCCAACTCCCCAGCAGTTTGGTTTGCTCATCAGTCTCCTGGGTTTGCCTGAACTGGTGAGTTTTGCAGTGCATTATTGCTACTTCAGGGGTGATGTGGATGTTCCCAAAGCTCTCACTATTTGATTAGAGATACTGATTCCTTGCAGAAGGATTGAGGAACATGGAAGTGTTCAAGGCAGTAGCTGTCTTTAGCACCACGCCTTTTGTTCCAGGAGTGCCAGGTGTTACTTTAGGAAAATGAGTGAGCTCTGTTTTGCTCTACACCTGACATAACAATGTGTGGCAAATAAACTGACATTTTTTTCCCTATTCTATCAGCGCCCGTTGGTTCCACCACCCGTTGTTCTAGAGCCCAATCCACCCACAGAGTGGAGGTAATTATTTACAGTTCTGTGAAGAAATGGGGGCTCAGGGACAAATTCACAAAGCCAGCAGCACGAGAACCCAAAGTGTTTGAGTATTTTTACATTTGATCAAAGAAAGGAATTAGTGTTCATTGACTGCAAGTTCCCTAGTTCTCTTCATAATGAGTATTCTGTCTGCTGTGGGTTATGATCCTCTCACTTCTCATGCTCATAATTCTGCATGCTTAGTCCCTCCCTCCTTCTTAGTGAGAGGTTTCTTGAGTGGGTGGTTGTCGTCTGCCTCTGCTGGAATGGCCTTTTACCCTGGTGGAGCTGATTCAGCACAGTTGCTGCATTGGCTTTATCAGTTTGTTCCTTTTCTTGAGGGTTCTGCCAATTGCACTTGTGCCCATAAATTCTGTATTCTTTGTGTCCACCATCAGTGGTGCATCCTTGTTCCCAAGCCTTGCTGACCTGGCCTGTGTCTGAGGTTACTGAAGCCTGTCGTGCCCTGCACCTCAACAAGGCAATGCAGGTAAGAAGTCACTTGCCTTTCCAAGGCCTGACCATCACTTCCAGCTTATTGGCTGCTTCATGGGAATCATCTCCCTTCTTGTTGATGTGCCTTGGAAGGCGCAATAGCCAAAAATCAAGGAACATATTTTCCTAAGAAGTATTCTACATGGCAGATTATTCAGCCGGATCAGCGTGTGTGTGGGAGCGGGAGCAGCCGAGGCAGAGGGGGATGGCGGAGCTGCGGGCCTGGGCAGGATCCAGTGAGTTCCGCAGGGCCCCAATCCGCACTGCGTCCCACAGGGTCCCCACCAGCACTGCCATGCCCGTCAGGGTGAGCCAGATGTTTTGCGGAGAAAAGAAGAAACCTCACAACTTTGTAAAAGTTGTAAAGCTTGGTATGTTTATTACAGCTCTGGAGGCAAGCGGAGATTGCTCTCCTCAAAAAAGGCATGCGTACTTCTGAGGACTTTAGATCTCTTTTTATCTCCCCTTCCAAATACATATGCATACAGTTTCACAATAGGTTCATACATATTCATTCCACATGACATTTATCGCCAGTTCCTCTTTATCAAAAAAATTCTGAGGTCAGAGCAGACTGGCATTGAGCCCTTTCTGGTGTTTTTTCTCTGTCTCCTCACTATCTCTGCCTTGCAGTTTTTCCCTTCAGCTTTGGCCTTACAGACTTTTCACCCCTCCTAGACACTTCACCTACTTCAAAATGGATTTTTACTCTGGGGGATTTTTCACTCTGTCTCACAGAGTTGCCAGGAGCAAGAGGTGAGGGGCAGGTGTGGGGCTCTGTGGGTTGGCAGCGGGTGGGGGCTTGGCCATGATGTTGGTGTCAGGTGCTGCTGAGCCCGCGGGAGCTGTTGGGCAGGGCTGGGGCCCCACTGGTGCTCCAAGGGCCCCTTTGAGGCAGCTGCCCGGGGGGAAGCGATGCACAGGGATGACATGAGGAGGTGCCAGTGGGAGAGGGAGGTTCCCCATGCTGTGGCATCCAGGAAATTCATGCTCTGGGAATGCATCGTGGTCAAAATGCTTGGATTTCTCTTTGTTCTATACTTATACATGGGTCACCAAAAATGCACGATAAATGAAACCCTCAAACAGTAATTTTTTCGTATTAGGAGTAGGCATTATTTTATTTCCAGCTGTGGTGCAGAGGGGAGAACTCCAGCCACAGGCACACCACTTCTAAAGCTTTTCCACTTATCCATACATTTTTAGCAAACAAAGAAATGACTCTTCATTGGTCTAATTTACATAATTCTCGTCATTAATTAGTCTGCTATTGTCTTGGATATTGATGTCTCCCTTCTCATGCCAATTAGTCCAAATTTTTCAGTCTCTTTATTATCTTTTTTCTCACAAAAGTTGATTTGAGCTCTGAGGTTGAAATGTCTTTATTATTTTTTTTTGTCTTCTGGTTACTCCAACATGCTCTTGGCTGGGTACAAAGTCTAAATTCCAGATGTCCAGACTTTTATGTCCTCAGGCTTTGTTCCTTGAAGGTTATCAGTGTTAGTTTAGCAAAA